TGACTACTTTGTATTACTTTGCATTTTTAGAGGGAGAAAGACATCTTCCAAACCAAGCTATTCCAAGAGCAATTTTCCCGATGAAGTAGTGGAAAGAAAATTGTGTTCAGGAACTAAGTTTCAGTCAACACACTTAATGGCAACCAGCTTATTTCATGGCCAAATGAATACTTCTAGCAATTATATCCTGAATATTAGGTACTGGTTTTACAACTTGGTTTCCCAAGTTTCTCATATCAAATGAGACAGTAGGAGACAAGCAATTCCTTCTAAAAAATGTACCTGATTGGTGCTCAGAATTGACTTTATTTTTGGATTCTTTTGGAAAGGATGTTCATTTAATAGATTCCAGCTGTCAATCACATCACATTTTGTTAAAATCAGTTTTTCTTTCAAAGTCTGATAGACTCTTTACTAGATGTTTAGCATAAAAATTGACAGATACTTGCCTGTATCTCAAAATACTGATAGTTTAGTAGAACAAATTTAAAAAGCTGTAAAAGCATGGTTCTGTCCATTAATTGGACTTTGTACTTACCACTGAACTATACAAATATCACTTCTATAAAATAAGATTTTCTTATTAAAACCAGAAATTAAGTTAGACGTAATTTGTTAAGGTCATGGTGGAACGTAGCAAAGTGAGAGAGGACAACTCCATAGGAAAAATGACTGGTAGGTGTTTAAACTAAATATGTCTGCTCAGCAAATATATTAGTTAGTTACTACACCAAACTCACAACAAAGTAAGTTTAATCAAAAACAGCTGAACAGGAGAATATTTATTTCATGATTAGTAAAATTTATTTTTAAAAACTAACATAAAATCCAAGAGGAATAGAGAAGACTTAGGAATTTTTCCCAAATCCTCTTACTAGCCGTAAAGATAATAGATAATAACAGCACATTTTACAAAATTCACGTTACAGGAAGGTACTTAATCTGTGAACCTAAGTGCCAATGCCTTAACTAGCTTTAATTCATTGCAGGAAACTTTCCTCAAGTATTTTGGTTATATTCTCCATGTTACTGCTCTTAGTTCTTATACTGTAAAGTTAATATATTTAAAAGATTTATAAAATGTCTTAACATAAATTCATAGATGTACTTAAAGTTTTGTATTAAAAAAAAAGTGCCCTTGTATGAAAAAGGAATTTTAAAAGCTTTCTGGTTTTCTTCACCAGAAAGTTAACGTGCAGTTACTATACCAGTAACATTTTAAGCCTTCACAGTGAAATTCTTGAAGACTGAAATCAGAGAAATGTTAATGTTGGAAAAGACCTCTATGATCAGCAAGTTGAACCATTAACGTAACAGCGCCAAATCACAGATCGGGTTGTTGGATAAGGATTTATTTTTTCTTACCAAAAATATATCTGTTAGTGAAATTGCTTTCTGGTATTATGGTGTTTCTTTAGACCTGTGTAGGGATTGTTTGTAATCAGATAAGTTTTAATCATTCCATCCTGTTGGGCAATTAATATGTAAGAAATACTGACTACTCTAGCGATTAACCAAAAAACAAATAATGTGAATCTTACTGGCTCAAAAGTGTCATCCATTTAGCAAAGTGAGGTCTTTAAATACATGTTCTCCAGTATTTATTCAAAATTACTGGAAATAAAATTACTTTTTCCCTCTTGCTAAATATTTCTTACGATCATCTTTTGTTTTTATTAAAAGTCAGCAATTATCTTTATATAAAAAGTACATTTTCATACTGAGAATTGTACCTTTTTTCATGCATCACTTTCCTTTCTTCCTTTTAGCATTTCCACTGTGACCCTGCAATGTCTCCATTAGCAACTACTAAATCATATGGGGAGAGTTAATATTTTGAAAATATTCACGGTGTTAATATCACACTTCTACCACAATCTGACATACAGAAAGAAGGACAATGTAATCAGATTTCTAGTGATATTCATAGGTTGGAAACTGTCCTATAACACTACCTGGAAATAAGAAAATTAAATAGTCTATGCAGATTTTAAGCCTTAAGTTCATTGAAGAATTGAAATCAAGAATTCTCTGTTGCATGTAAGATGCCCAATTTTTAACATTATTTTTGTAAAGTCCATTGGAATATATTTTTTTCTCTATGTTTATCATTACAATGCTTGAACACATTAACAGAGTAATCAGACAGGAAACTAGATTGATAGCTACTTTTTTGTGGTGTTAAAATTTTGTATCTCGTAATTTAATTCCAGCGTACTGTTTACTTTGCACATTCTTTTTACAGCAAAACCCTCACATTTTGCAAATAGAGACAAGTTGATGAAGTTTTGGTTCTCTGAATTTTTTTTATTTTAACCTTCTTCTTGCAAAGATGCCAAGCAATATAAACTGATACTACAGCTTTTTCAAATTTATGACCAGTCATAGGAAGAGTGGTTGTCAAAAATCTGGAATTTCATTTCCTCAAATTCCTAATCTTGTAATTCAAATATTATCTTTTCTTCAAATTTAAGGATACAGTCCTACTACCACTGCTGGTGGCTGAAATGCCATAGCAGGGCACTAATTTGCTATAACACTACATTAATACAACTCCCCTGACTCCTCTTCGTGCCATTCCCTCAGGTCCTGTCACTGGTTTCCAGAGAGAAGAGACTGGTGCCAGCTCTTGTTCTTAACTCTCTCTTTGCTACGTTAATTGTACTGCATTGAACAAAACTACATTGCTGTAATGGCTTCTATACTAAATTGAGTTTGGAATAACGCCAGTCGTTATTCAAAGAGATTATAGAGATTGAAAAGATTCACAGTCTTCTGGAAACTCACCTTTTAGCCAAAAAGCATTCAATCCTGATTGACTCCCAAAGGACTTATATGCAAGGACCCTGCAAAAGTGCTCTCCAGAAATGAATTTACAAGTTAAACAATAGGCATGGCTAGGAACTGCCAACTTATGGGTAGTTCTGGCCTCTTCTTTCTGAAAAGTCTTGTCCTCTGACTGTACACAAAAGCTCAGAAGGCTCAACTTCAAATTCATGTATCCCTTTTTCAAGACAAAACATTTCACCATGGCACTGTAGTTCAACAATGAAAGTTTAAGACATTATGGTTACAGGTTTCTGTCACACTTCCTCTTAGAAATCGTCATGCCTGTAGCAAATACAGCTGAGAAAGACGCATGTTCCCATTTCAGCAGTTCAAGTTCCAGGCTAGTACCCCTTCTTAAAGCCCTCTTGCAGATGTGTTTGCAAATTTATGGGCACGTGTACATTTCTTGTTCCATCTTGGCTGTGCAATGGAAACATGTAGCAGAGAGATCAGGAAAACCACTGGAAATGGCGGAACCCTAAACCACTGCCCCTCAATCTGTTGAGGAATACCTTCAGTGCAGGTAGCTCAGTGTGTAGCTGCAGTGCAGCTGCAGATTGAGCTCTGGGGGGCAGGAGCTCCAGAGAAGCAAGAGACTGTGAACCGGTGGCAACCCTTTGCACAACAATGGAGGCAAAGGGCCTGTGGCATTGGCCATGTGATCGGGACACTCAGAGACACGGCAGGAGCCGACGACTCAGCTGGAACACCTCAGACTATAGTGTGCATAGAATGGGAGGGTGTAAAAGCCCAGGGCTTCCTTTATTCAGGATCCTTCCTCCCTCCAAGGCACCAACCTCAGCTCTGATTCTCTTGCTGCACTGTGATTTTATTATTTTAAGGATCCAGATATTGGAGACTCTGCTATGGGAAGCCTGGGGTCAAACCAGTAAGGAAAGGTGGTCTGACTGTGAGAGTGTGGGGAGGGTAGGGAGTCAAGGGGATCACCCATCATTTGCTGGAGCCGCGAGTGTGAAGCAGCTTCAGTCCCAGCTTTGGTGGTGCGAGTGTGACTGCCAGAGTGGTTCCTAGACAGTCACACAGGAAAGTTTCCTTAGCCCATCCACCAAGCACACCTGACAAGACCCTTACAATGGCTGTGTCACAGATACTGTTTCAGAACATATGTGCACAGAGAAACCTATTGCCCAGCCTGGTCCATATATGACAGACAGAAGTTTTATCCATATTTAGCTTAATTTCCAAGAAAACAAATAAAAATTTTGTTTTTCACACCTTCGGTTCAGGAAGAATGGGACCTTTCTTTGCCTCAGAGAAAGAACATGATTCTCCGCTACCAACTTAGTAGATGACTGGTACTTCTGCCGAGAAGTCTACACATGCTCTTCTATGGGCACAGCCATGGGTCTCTCTCCTAGACCTGACCCATGCCTCCTGGCACAGACCACCTGCTGCTCAGTTCTGCCTTGGGCTGTACAAAGAACACACTGTTCTAGCTGATGTCAAAGCAGGCCGTGTGTTTTTCTCCCCCGTGCCTGAGGCAGAAATGGAGGGTGGATGGGGAACTTGTAGTTTTGACCTGAAGCTTACCCAGGATAACCCATGTGCTTCAGCTTCACCTAAAAGCAGAGCCAACAGGCACCCTTAGGTTTCTTGGCACTCTTGAACCTCAATGCGCGTTATCAAACAACTCCAAACCTCTTGGGCTTTGGTCAGGCACAGCCCTAGCTCAGAGGCGGGACACGAGATGTGATAAGGGACGAGCAGCGAGCATTGCAGGTCACTGATAAAGCAGCCTGGCGGATTGCAGGCGGGCTTTCGAAGGTGTCACAGAGGCTGCAGGGCCACGTAGCCTGCAGCTCCTGTGGCGGGAAGCTGCGAGAGGGAAGAGAGGGAGGAAGGAAGGGGGGTTGGGCCGGCTGCTCCCGGCACCGCCCTTCGGAGCTCCATGGCGCCCCCTAGCGGCAGCGGCCGCAGCGCGCCCCGGCGCTTAATGCGCCTACCCTTGCACGGCTGCGCGCCAAGGGGCGGGGCCACTGCTCATTTAAATATCACGGAGGCTTATTTGCATGCCACTAAGACGGCCGGCCCTGCGATTGGCCGGTTCCGGAGCAGCCCCCCACTGCCGGCCCCTGTGCCCACGGAGGGGGCGGGGACAACTGAGCGAGGGGAGGAGACATAGGGTTCATTTGCATAGCGGCCCGGCGTGTGCGACGGGGGGAGGTGGTGTTTGTGCCTGGAGCGCGTTCCGAGTTTGAATCCACAGCGGCAGCGGCGGCGGCAGCGGCGGCTGCTCGGGCTGGAGCTGCCGCGGGACGTGAGGGCGCAGGTACGGCAGGGCGCGCTCGGGGCGCGGGGGCCGGGCGGGTAGGGCAGCGCACGGCACGGCACGGCACGGCACAGCGGCGGCCGTGCTCGCTGCTCCGCGCGGCGGCGGCGGCGGCGGCTGCAGCGGCTGCAGCAACAGCGCGCATGCGCCGGAAAGCTGCAGCGCTGTACACGCGCATGCATGGGAGCACGTGACCCGGCTCCAGTGCAGCGGCGGTGGCGCGCGTGCGCGTCCCCGTTGCTTTCGCGCGTTGGCGGCGGCGGTGGCGGCGCGGGCACAGGTGGGTCTGACGGGGGCGCGCACCGGGAGCAGCGGGCACCCGCATGGGCGCGACCCGCCTCACGCGGCCTGGGCGAGGCGAGGCGAGGTGAGGGCGAGTGTTTGGGTGGGACAGGGGCGCGTCCGGCGCCTCGAGAGCGTTTCCTTGCTCCCTGCCGGAAATGGGCTGGCCTGGCCTGGGTGGTTGGTGCTGGGTGCCGCCGGGAAGGGCCGCACCGGCACGGCGGGCGTGGGACATCGTAGCGCATGGACTGTGGACGCAACGAGGGGAAAGTACTGGTGGTGTTTTTACACTGGCAGGCACCAGGGCACAATTTTTGTACTTTATGGGTATGCTTGTTTCTTGGAAACCAAACAGCTTTTATATGGGAACCGAGAAGGTTGAATTGTGCTTACTCCTGTGGTGTCACCAGTAAACAAGGCCCAAGCGCCTCCTCGAGGTGTCATGGCCGCCCACATCAAAACATGGCAAAAGAGTTTAAGCCATGTGCTAAGTAAAGAAGGTACATTCGAACCTCTTCTCTTCCTTAAGGTTAAATATTTTAAATATCCAAACTTTTCTCAGTTAAGTGCTTTTTTCTTTAATTCTGAGGCCTGGTGTCCCTCTGCCCTGGAGTAGTTTGTTCTTCTAGCAAATCCATGTTTCTGGATTTCGCAGTCGTTGGCAGATATTCAGTGGAAATGCTGATAGTAAGATATTTTGTTACTTAACAGTAATCTTGAAATCATTCTAAGTAGTGTCACATGACTAGGTAGACTAAGTGGTAAAGTTGGATGGAAATGTTGATGGAAAAGTACCTGCTTAAAATAAAGGGGTGAACAGCTCTGCTATTCTAGGAAGCAGTCAGTGAGCTTAAAAATGCAGGCTTCAGTCACAGAAAAACATCACTTACGCCTCTAGATATTTGCTATGCTAACCAGTGGAAGTAAGAGCATGTTAATGGATATGTTTGCTTAATATCCCAAACTATACAAGAAAATGCAGCATTATTATAAACAGGGTTATTAGAACTTAATTCTGCAAGATGAGAATATTTTATAAGCATACTATTTGTTTCTCTTTTGCAAGTTAAAATATATGCTTGCGCTTGTTACAGTTCATAGTAGGTTCGTATTTTCAAAAGCAGAAGACTGAAGAATGTTCTTAATCTCTGCTTAAGTGTGGAATGAAAAATTTAAATATAAAATCTGTACATGCTCATCAGCTATCAATATAAAAAATAAGTGGTGTTCTAATTAGGTGCTATTTTTTGCAGTCCTACAGGAAGGTATGAAGGAGAGTGTTGCTGCAGATACTAAGAATTTCTTGGAAGAGAAGAAACCAAACACAAAAACCACTGCTGTTTGATACGTGACCCTGGACAGGTAATTTCTCAGTTTCACATCTATGAAATGGGGCTAACGATTGTTGTCAGGCCAATTATAAAATAAATTTGTTAATAATTTGAGGATTTATGCAATTCATGAATCGTGGTAACTGCACCCACTAGTTATTCTTGACATATAGCAATTATTATTTTATATGCTTCAGAACTACCAAATTAAATTCCCATGTGTGTATAATTGAGGGAGCATTATATTAATAATTTTGGATTCTTGTTACATTTTTAGTTTGGAGAACTTAGTGCATTGCTTGGTGTAAACCATGTTTTTATCAGCTGCAACCTTTCTACCAACTGTAGCAGTGCTGAGCTGATGTTTTCTGTGGTAATATGGAACAGTGTTGTATTTTGTTGTATGAAATAATATGCTGAAAGTGTTTTGGATGTTGTGTAGACTTAAAACTAATCACAGTACCATTTGTTTCTAAAATGATTCAATAATAATTATGTGCATCAATTTAAATTGTTATTTTGATGACTTTTTTGTGAAACCATTTATCTTCTACCCCATTTGAAGTCTGTTTTCAAGAAGATGCTGATTCTAATAGATACACACATCTTTTTTGCCACGTTTCCTGTACCTTTATAAGCTGTAGCTTGTCTTATTATGCTCATTTCAAAACTTAAAAAACCAACATTAACTATGGTGTGTGAATTTCTCTATAAAAGCTCCTTTAGTATTCCTTCCCCTGGGGACAAGAACACATAAGCATATGCTTTCCTACCATCATGGAAGGTGATTTTGCCAGCCAAGCAAGAGCCTGAACAGCTTAATAAAAGTTATTAGTTAACAAAGTTTAAATACTGATTTACTGAATTCGGTGCAAACAGAAATGTTTAACGTGTTCAGTGAATTCTAAAATACTGATTTGTTGTTAGTAATTAGATTTTCATTTTCCTTGTATTTGCATATGTTTCTTGTTACAAACTTAAAAAAATTTTCACCATGAAATGGAGCTGACTAAGCCAAATACTGTATTTTGTTTTCAAAATAAGGCAAAAATAATTTAGTTTTCATTAGATGTTCTAATGATGTAAGTATTTATTAGGTTTATCTCAGCTTAATTGTCAGAAACTATGCGTATGGCAAAAATGATAAGTTCATTCATGGGATATAAGCAGTAAGGCCAAAAGATCCTTTAAACCAGTATGTTTTTACTCAGTAGTTTGCATGCTGGTGCTTTTTTTCTTTCTTATTTATTCTACTTGATGGGTTTTTTGTATTATGGGTTGTTGATGGGTTTTTTTGTATTATGGGTTCCATCTTTACGTGATGGATTTTATTTTGGGAGTTACGGCAATGACACATGTTCATTGCAGTTTTCGTAAGGGGTAATAAATGATGAAAATAAGTTGTAAGTTACAAAATTAAGATACGTGAGTATGGGGAGCTGGGATTTTTTTCTCCTCCTTGATGATTTTATTTAATGCTGCTCTTAAATGCAATGAAATCTAATGTTATTTTTGCAGAACATAACTCATTTGTCTCCTTGGTTTTCTCTAGTACCTGACATTACTCTGGGAAATTGATCTATTCACACAAAATAAGTGGGGGTTTGTAAACTGGTTAGCATAAATGCTGTTTTCATGATGTATACTTGTAGTCCTGGTGTTTCAGTTCTACTCACTGTCACTACACAGTGCTGTGTGTACTGCATGAAAAAGTTCCTCTAGTTCTACTGTACTGTAAGAAGCTGTTTATCAAGCAGCAGTGACTTATCCAAATACAGGATGGGGAGTAAGATGGGGCTGTTGTGTGTCAAGTTTTTTTGGGTTGGTTTTTTTGGGTTTTTTTTTTTGTTTTTTTTGACAGTTCATTAAAAGCAGAAAGTTAAATTGTTTTTTTAAATTATATTTTTCTTGTCAAGTCAGCTGTAGAATATCTTAATCAGTGAATATGGCTTAGATATGAATTGTGTAATACCTAATTTCAAAATTTTTCTACTTTGGCCTTGGTTTAGATACTAAAGCCTACTGGATGATGCCAAAGAAAGTAACTTAAAATATTTTTAATACTTGGGTTAGGAGGATCTGGAACATAGTTTGCGTCCACTTTGACTTCTGGTTATCCTGTTAAGAGAATAATTTCACATGGCATTGTGGGAGTCTTAGTTTTTGTTTACCTGAAAAGCTTTTGTGTATTGTTGGTAGTGTTTTTAGATGTTTTCCATTTTTTGTTCAAGTTCAGCTTTTTCCAATTTTTTTTTTGCGTTTTTATAGTAATAGTAGTCAAATTCTTGATTTCATATGTACAGTGTGTAAGTTTTGAAAACATCTAACTGAAGTGCAGTATTAGTCTACAGATTAGACTACAAGAGTGAGTGTCATCGGTTGTAGATGCAAAGTACTGATATTCGTTATCTAAATATGGGATCTTCAGAGTGCATTATTATTTTTTTACTGTGGTGAACAGTGGAAGTGTGATCCAGAAAGGGGAGTCTGTTTTATTAGTTGGAGGGGGATTTTTTTTTTTTTGTCTTAAATTGCATATTCTGGTTGTAATGAATGCTCTAGTTCTTAGCACTGTTCTTCCTTGATTGTCTTTTGTAAATATATACAGGCCAAAACGTTCCAAAGAAAGTAGATTTCTCAGTTGCGTGTGACTTCTGGATAGCTTTGTATTTCATGCTTTCACCTGGTGTTGTATTACATAGCGTTAAAAAAGACAAAATGCTTTAAGTGCACCATAAATCATAATCATAGAATGATTTGGGTTGCAAGGGACCTTAAAATTCATCTGCTCCCAGCTGCCCTGCAATGTGCAGGGAGATCTTCCACTAGACCTGGTTGCTCAGAGCCCCATCCAGCCTGACCTCGAAAACGTAACACAGGTGAAGCATTCCCAATTTAACCACCTCACACTACAGTGCCTCACCACTCTCACACAAAAGGATTTTTTTCCTAATATCTAATATAAACCTACTGGATTTCAGTTTGAATCCATTACTTTTTGTTCTATAACTACATGACCATGTAAATGGTTTCTTTTGAGCTCTTTTGTACTCCTTTTATAAGCACTGGAAGGTCCCTTAAGGTATTTACAGAGCCTTTTCTTTTCCAGACTGAACAACCCCACTTCTCTCAATATTTTTTCCTGGGAGAGGTGATCCATCTCTCTAATCATCTTGGTTGCCCACCTTTGGACTCACTGGTTCGTGTCCTTTTTGTGCTGAGGACTCCAGAGCAGTGCAGGTGGGGTTTCAGCAGAGCAGAGGGGCAGCATCCCTTTCCTCGCTGTGCTGTCCACGCTGTTCTGGATGTAGCCCAGGATACAATTGGCTTTCTGGGCTGCAAGTGCACATTGCTGGGTCATGTCCAGCCCTGATCCACCTGCACCCCCCAAGACCTTCTCAGCAGGGCTGTTCACCATCTGTTTATCCCCTCAGCTTGTACAATACCAGAGGCTGTGCTTACATGCAACTTGAGCATTTCATGCAGGCCTAAGTTTCAGGCTTGCATAAAACTTTAAAATATTTGTGTGGATAAGGTTATTAAAGTGACACTTAAAAATTCTGCTAGGAGGACAGATGAGTCTAATGAGTTTATTTTTCTGGTTAAGAAGAAAAATTCCAATACAGATATGTGGCAAAAATTTCAAATTGTGCCACAGCCCAAACAATTTTAAAAGAAAGCTGCTCGTCTCTAGCACAGTAGTCCAGTTTTATGTGAACATTGATTGATAGTTATTTTTAGTAGTTCTTGGAAGAGTTGTTAGTTTTCTGTAAATATAAAGCGTAGTAAGCATCAAATACAGTTACTAATAATTAATAATTATTAATAGTTAATACCTGCAAATTTTGTGAAAACAAACAGCTGGAGTGAGGAGAAGCTACCAGTGTTGGTAGTGAGGGAGGTTTGAAATTAAGTGGTATTTTGGGGGAATAACTTGCTGTCAGTCATTACATAGGCCAGTGTCCACTGTTCACTTGCTTGGTGTAGTAACCAGTGATAACCTGAGTAAGAAATAGCAAGACAATATTTATAATTTGTAAGAAATGTGGATTCCCTAGTTCCATTGCTCACTCCTTATCTTGCTTAGTACTGCTGGTGTATATCTTTTTAATTGACTGTACATTTAACAGCCAGTCTGCCCTCCCCTTTCCATCCCTTCCCCCATCTTTCAGGTTTTTTTCTGGAAGTAAAGACTCCCTTGCAGGTGTAGCTGAGAGCATGGTACTAACTATACCATGCTAAATAACTGCCTGATTTTCAGTTGTAGGTCAGTTTGCATCCCATCATAGTAGAAGAATTCACAACATTGTGTAAATGTATGTATGTTGTATAAATACCTTTTATGTTTTTCTGGGAAAACTTATGTTTTGGAAAGCAAACTATGCCTTTTGTTATATTTTGAGCTGTACTTGTTACAAATTATTTAAAAACTATACATAGGAATTACTAGCACTTACTTCTTTCATAAACCAACGTCAAATCATTTGAGAACTTAGGGAATTAGGTGGCTGGGTGCAAAGTACTTCTTTAAAATGTATTTTTAAGAAATATTTATCTCAACTAATAGAGGTACTTTTGCTGTGGGTAACATGAATTTTTGTAATACCAGAAAAATGTTTTCCTCTTCTAGGTTTGGTTTCTGAAAATGCTTTCAAGTAAACTCCCATAGTCAATGCACAGATTTTATTATATGGCTGTGAATATGGGAGACAAAATAAATACACAGCTTATTTTAACAACTGTCATTTTGTGTTGTCTCAAGCATTATCTGCAATTTCATGGTACTGTAAACAAATGTAATGTTAAAAAAACCCCCGAACAATTTCCTGAACAAAACCACATCCCTCATGTCTCCTTCCTCAAAAGAAAAATGCCAACCAAACAATCCAAAAGCTGCCATTTTACTTCTTAGCTTTGCCTCCAACATGCTGCAGTTTCCATAAGGTCCTTTTTAAAACAAGTTGCATTCAAATTTTTTGTTTTTTTCAGAAATGGGTTAAACATATTAATATAAATGCCTGCTAACTTCAG